AATTGTAACGAATAGTATTTGAATAAAAGCATTTAATCGGGTAAAACCCGGGCGTTACCCGGGTCATTCGGCTAGTAAATTAATATAAAGCAATATAACGCGCCAACTTTATATAGAAAATTAAAACATTATAAGACGCGAATGTTTCTTTTCACACTTGTTTTTTTCATGGCAGTGAGGACAGTAGAAATTTGATTTGTGTGTGAAAGAAGCATACGACGCATCTTAAAATGTTTTATTTTCTACGTAACTGTATATATCGACAAATAAATTAGAAATTAAAAATAAAAAATACTTTTGCACATTGAATTTATTGTCATCTGCCATATAAAATAGACCAAATATCATTTCAAAATAATAGATTTAAAAACAGCCTCATCTTAAATACTATTTATTTGAGTTAAGTGGAATTTTTTCCGGAGCATATAATCTGAATTAATTAAACCCATTACAGTTATCAATAAATTAAATTTACATAATATACATTAAATTTGAATAGTGCCTCATAGATACACGCTCAAAGGTTTTGTCTTTATGTTATTTATATTGACATATTCCTGTTAAACAATATTTTATTAAATAAAAGGGCTTACCTGGATCTGTAAAGTAAAAAACATTTTTTTTTCTTTACAGATCCAGGTACGCCCTTTTATATAATCTTAATTAATGAATCGTCATGTGACGCAAACAATATTTTATGTTTATTTTTTATTATTATCCCTAGTACACGTGGTACAGGCCATGATAATCATGGTGGGTAGAAGTTGGCGACTGCTTTTACTGTAAGTGCACCACATGTCTACACATGTGAAAATCAGTTCGACTTTCGCACTTTAAAATGTGCCAGAGCCTCGTTTGGTTACTTTCACTCGCTGGTGGGGTTGGACTTTAGCAAGATTCGGGGGCCATTAGAGCATTTTATTTTTAATTTGAAAAAAGTGCCCAATGCGGGATTTGATCCCGGGTCGTTGCGGTCGAAAACCAACTGTTTAGACCACCCTTCCACCGACCCCCGTATATTGTATGTTAATTTACGTACTGTGAAAATTTCCTGTTATTCATTTAAAGGCAAAGCAGATATGCAAATGTCAAAAATGGAAATGGTCAGGAAGCTTCTCGGGTTTACCAGAAACTGCATCCTGAACGAAACATCCATCTCCCAATTATATAGCATCATTCTATCATATATTGTGTTTAACCCAGCTTTGCTTGAACAATGGATAGCGGAAAACTTATTATCTTAATGTTTTCATTTGTTATATATAGATGGCGCGTTATTGCTTTGTGTTAACTTATTATTTTGTTTATTTTCAACTATTCGAGCATTGCTCGAAGCAAATATTTGAATGTAATTCTACTGTCCTATAAGCTTATGTCCATAGTTTACTTGAAAACCATTTCTAAGATTCCATCCTTCAGTGTAGCATATAAAAGCAGAATGATCCAATACAGTATTGGAGCTCTGAGAGGCGGTCTGGTGGATTAAATTGGCGAAACCGCTGGGAGGGTTCAACACTGATGAGCCAAGCCCTCCCAATATATTTTTTCATCGCAGTAAAGACAGTAGAAGTTCGTTTTATGTATGAAAGAAACATTCACGCTTTTAAATCCTTTTATTTTATATGTATAGATGGCGCGTTATTGCTTTGTGTTAATATTAGTCCATTGTTTGTTTCTTTATTCAACATAAAAATAAATATTCTGTTTTATTTTAAAATGTGTGTGCGACTTTACAATGAAAATAATTCGGCTTTAATGTGTTTTCAATTTTAGGGTTTTATAACGCGTGATGTTATTGAAATAATTCTTTTTTTTTTTTCGAAAGGCTATATCACATTAAATATTCAAAAATGGCAAAAGGTTCATTAAAAAGTTCATATTGCATTTATGTGTTGTAGACGCGTATGATTCTTTTAAAAATTGAACAATTTCTACTTCCCTCACTGCAATGAAATATTAATGGGAGGGCCTGTCAGTAAGGGCAGTAGAAATTGTTTTACTTTTAAAAGAATCATACACGTCTATAATAGTTTCGAATTTTCATAACAGATGGCGCGCTAATGCATCATTATATAAATTGTTTTATGTGTTGAGTACATTGTTGTGAATATTGTTGATTTATTTTGGATTCACACTGCATACTGATAGATATTTCAGTAGGCGCAAACATTAATTCAGTACTGGAGTAGCTTCGATTTCATAACTTCTATTTCATTGGTGTTACGACTTATTCTTTATCATCAACTAGAAAGGTGTTTTATTACAGTAATGAACATATATAATGCATCGTTCTAATGAGCATAATTAAATATGTTAAATATGTAAATATATATATATATATATATATATATATTTATTAAAAACAAAAAAGGTATCTCCTGACCACGAGCACATGTGCTTTTTAGATGGCAGAGCGCCATCTAGTGGAGCAAAAATAAACTAAACGTTTATTTAGCTTGCTCCGTGATATTTGGCCAACCCAATTTCTTGATTTATCAAGAAAAGCCACATCCACGATATATAAATATATATATATATATTAATATCAAAAAAGGCATATCCTGACCACATTCACATTAACTTTCAGATGGCAGAGAGCGCCATCTAGTGGAACAAAAATCAACTAAACTTTGATTTAACCTGTTCCCAAATATTTGGCCAACCCTATTTCTTGATAAATCAATAAAGTTAACCATGAACGCGTTTCGGTCTGTTAGCCCTCGTCAGCGTGGTACAGACTGTACCTCTACGATTAAAAATATTTTGGTCCTAGAGGCTTCCCGAGAAATCAAGAAATGAGTATTTAAGGCCACACTTGAGAAAATACGCTAAACATGTGCATTTTTTTCACATATAAATATATTGAAAATAAAGACGGCATCTCCTGACCACGAGCACATGTACTTTTTAGATGGCAGAGCGCCATCTAGTGGAGCAAAAATAAACTAAACGTTTATTTAGCTTGCTCCGTGATATTTGGTCAACCCAATTTATTGTTAAATCAAGAAAAGCCATCCACGAACGCGTTTCGCGCTGTTGGCGCTCGTCAGCGTGGAGTAGGCTGTAACCACTGCGACCAAAACGATATTTGGTCCCAGAGGCTTCTTGAAAAATCAAGAAATGGGTGTAAATATATATAGATAATATATCTTAAAAGTCTCAATTTTCACACAATTTATATTGATGAAAATACCATCAAATAAATCAAATAGAAAGATATATAGAAAGAGAATTAGTAGTATAAAATTATAATATTATTGACGTAGAAAATTATGAAAGATAAACTTCAGGATGACACGGCAATTTATTTAAGGACAGCAATAATTAAATTTGACATAATACAAGAGAAGCAATATGGGGTATATTTCCGCAGAGTAATAAAATGCATAAACATCAAAATTAATAATATGTATAAAAATGATAAATACTTTGCTACAATATTATTTCTATATATACGCTGATGAGGGCCAACAACCCGAAACGCGTCCGTGGTTAGCTTTTCTTGATTAATCAAGAATGGGTATTTGGCCAATTCTGGAATAATTAAAAATCAACGAGAATAGTTGATATTTATTCCGATAGATGGCGCAAGACATCAGCAACTTTCAGTTGCACGATAAGGAGATGCCTTTTTTCATACATATATATATGTTCATAAAGGGCACATCTTGGATTCAATAAATAATCTTTTATTTCCGATATAAATATCGGAAATAAAAGATTATTTATTGAATCCAAGATGTGCCCTTTATGAACAAATATAACAATATGGATTGCTCTATTTTCAGAATAATATATATATATATATAGTATCTCTTCAAAGCCTAATTTTCACACACTTGATATTTGAAGAAATACTATTATATGAACAATAGCCTAAATAAACAATGTCTCCTATACAACACCCAGCTAACATGTCCGTCAAATGGCCCCGCACAACAAAGAGAATTGAAGCGAGTGCTGGCAAACTTGGCTTTCTCTAACAATGACAAATTACCGATGATTAGAGAGTTTTTGTTATTTCACTTTCTGGGTAGGGAGCTTATTTTTATTTAGATTCGCTCTTGTTTGCAGATCTTTTTTCTTATATCTTAACATTTCCTTCTATAGATAGATATATTGTTATCCTCCGCCTATTAAATATCTATATATATAAAAAGTTAGGCAAACTTTTACTCGGGTAAAAACCGGGCGAAGCCGGGTACATTTGCTAGTATATCTATATAATAAATATGGTCCATAGTTCTTCTAAAATACCCATTCCAAGAGTCTACCAACAGTATCACTATAAAAGGAACTTCCAAAATGCAATATAACAGCGGTATGGTAGATTAAACTTTAATTTTTCCATTGCAGTAAGGGCAGTAGAAATTGTTTAATTTCAAAAGGAATCTTACGCCTTTAAAATAGTTTCGAATTTTGATAACAGTTGGCGCGCTAGTGCATCACAATATACATATGTATATGTATATACATATACATGTATATACATATGTATATGGTGTTTCTAAATATAGCATTGTATAATTGAAAATACACCTTTCCCGCCGAACATTATATATAGAAATACCCTCTCTCTAGTCACATCATGCCAGTTAAATAAATCTTTCAAATGTCATCATTTGATTAGCGCCTTCTATCTCTGATTTAAACGCTACTTCTATTTTCAATGTAAATACAAGTCAGGTCTTAGGCCCTAGATAAAATACGAAACTACTTTTCGCGAAAATCTTTTCTTCACAATTAGAACAATCTGAACTATTGGAAATTAAAAGTTTTTTAAAATCGTGTCTTATCTGCATTTATTCTTTTTTTTTGCTTCTTTATTTATTTTTGAATAAATGTACAAAGGTGACTCCAAAGGTTTTTGCAATCAATTTTAAATAATTAAAATATTAATACATACAGTTATCAGCGTCATAATCAATTCTTTCTTAATAAATTCTGTCACCGTTTGCTTTGTGAATGGAATAAATACCCAAATATGGCCATTTCTCATAACCATCGGTGGTTCAGTGGTAGAATGCTCGCTTGCCACGCGTGCGCCCCGGTTTCGAATCCCTGCCATGAATTTTTTTTTTTTTTTACAATTTTTAAAACTCATTTATATATTATACAAGAATGACATACACGGCGCCAATTTATAATTGTAACGAATAGTATTTGAATAAAAGCATTTAATCGGGTAGTATCGGCTAGTAAAAAATAAATTATACTATCAATTTCTAGATGAATATTTACCTAACATAAATATTTTTATAAAATATTAACAACAATGACTAATAGAGGGCGAGACTTTGTTTACAGCGGTAACGATAATTTCTAAATATTACAGGCAAAATGAAGTTGACTAGAGATAGTTTACGCGCCATGATATTTTATGATTATAAAAGTAATTTAACTTCTAAAGAATCCCATTAAATATTGATGAAAGCTTTAGGAGATAAAGATCTTTCTATTAGAACAGTTTTTAATTGGTTTAATGAATTTAAATTTTGAAAAACCAACCTGTTGAAGATGAACCTCGAACCTGTAGTTATTTTATATAAATAAAGTTTCTTTGTCATTTTGAGAATTGTAACCGTTATTTTTCACGGTATATGAAATTCTATGTGATTTACTGTAAATAATATTACTATAAATGATGTCTGAGTACTTATTCGACTAATGAACATCATACGTATAAAAATCACATATCAAGGTTCCATTCGTCCATATAACAGTAAAATGGCAGCAGACATTTATCTGAGAAGAGTCAAGACCAACTTGGAATCCCTAGAGACATTTTTCAATTTGCAGGAAAGTGGGAAGTCTAAAATAAGACTTGCATTTGTGATGCAAAACCTTTCCCTCTACAGATTTGATCTTGGAATCCTTTGGGACCTCTAATGATCTTTCCTGTGCTGAGTTCTCCCACGCAGTGGAGTCCCAGTCCTGTTTTTTATGGAATATAAATTTCATTTCACATCTCCACAAATTCAGAAGCAATGTACATATCTAGAGCTGTTACATATACGAGGTAAATATGTTAACAAATCATGATATTCATTGAAATTTTACGTTTTTTTCTGTAATTATATCATAGCTACATAGTAGAGAGGCAGAGTATTATATTTTATTAACTCTGTGTGTATATTTTTTAATAGTATTTCAGCACAAGAATAACTGGTCATGTGTGTACATATGACAGTATATATTGAGATTGGTCAAAATGAAGGTATGATATATGTGTTGGATAAACAGGCGTGAGAGAGTATTCATTTGACCATGGATAGCCCGCTACATTTTATGGACAACTTGCGCGCTGACTTACCTTGTCAATTCTACAGTAAGGATCGACTCACTAGAACCACAGAGATATGTTAAAAGCACGCATTTCGTATTCGCAATGTTCTAGAATTCATCTTCTTCACTTGGGGTGATTAGGGATATTTAAAACCTACTTCAATATGTGTTCCGAAACCTCTGTCTTGTCAGTTGACCAAACCTTCTAGAGATTCATCCCAGACCTCTTTCTCTTATTATCAACTGGGATTCTATGTTGCCGTGAAGATTGTTTTTTATTCCTACCTATTTATATACAGTCGAACTTGGATAATTCGAACCCCAAGGGACCATAAAAAAATTCGAATTATCCAAAAATTCGAATTAAAGATGTTTTGAATAAAAATGCTTAAAACAATAAAAATCTCACAATTTCGATCAATTCCTTTATTAAGAATAACATTAGTTGCTGTAAATTTACATTTTTACCGTATTTTTAGATTATGTGCAATAATTGTATGTATATACTATATACATATTAAAAAATATTTATTTTTTATATATATCATTATTTATAGAGGAAATTCTAGGGACCAAGATAAATATTCGAATTAAAGAGGTTTTCGAATTAAAGAAGTTCGAATTATCCAAGTTCTACTGTATTAATAAATTAACGAACAAATAATTATAAAGTTTTCAGAGTTTCGTTTCTTTTTTTTTTAATTTCAGAATTTCTAATGAGAAAGCAAGTTTTGGGATATTTGAAGAATATTTGTCATCTATATGATATTTGAATAAAATATTGTCACGAAATTTGTTTATTTTATAATACATTTAAAGAAAATGTATATTAGTAAACATGTAAATAATTTTTATGTTTAGATTTATATAATAAATGTATTAGTTTCTAGTTGGTCGCGAGGAAAACATCACTTACTAAGTTTATCAATTGATTAATAAAACCTAAAATAGAACTAAATGCCTCTCATCTGGATTTAAATTTGACACATCACAGAAAATTCCAGAAATACTTACATAAAAGAGGCCTATCAGAAACACCAAATTGTTCTTGCGGAGAAACAGAACAAACTGCTCTTCACCTTATCTACGACTGTCCGAACTTTACAGAAGTGAGACATCATTTGTTCCCTGATTTAAATGATCTAACTCTTTCACCTCAGCCACTTTGTTTATACATATTTTATGACCTCTGTTGAATAATACATGTAAATTTCTAAATATTTAATTCTAATTTATAATTTGTTTGCTGTTTTGTTTCCTCTGTATTAGGCACAAATATTTCAATATCGCGCCTAATTAATAAATGAATTAATTAAAAAAAAAATAATTTGAAATTACGACAATTTATTTATTATACTCTTAATGTATCGCATTAGAACTGAAAAATATTGTCTCGATGTAATTAATATATACAGTTATCAGCGTCATAATCAAGCAACAATTCTTAATTCTGTCACCGTTTGCTTTTGTGAATGGAATAAATACCCAAATATGGCTATTTGTCATAACCATCGGTGGTTCAGTGGTAGAATGCTTGCCTGCCACGCGGGCGGTCCGGGTTTGATTCCCGGCCGATGTATTTTTTTATTTTTACAATTTTTAAAACTCATTTATATATTATACAAGAATGACATCCACGGCGTCAATTTATAATTGTAACGAATAGTATTTGAATAAAAGTATTTAATCGGGTAAAACCCGGGCGTTGCCCGGGGCATTCGGCTAGTTTTGAAATAAAGATGGTTACTAAGTAAAAAAGACATGGCAACATTAAATATCAGTAAGGAGACCTCTCAGCGACATCGCAAGTTTCTACACCTACCGCTTCAACTATCCTCACAATAAAAAGAAAACCGAAAATGCAATATAACAGCGGTATGGTAGATTAAACTGGCGAAACCGCTGGGAGGGTTCACCACTGATGAGCTAGGCCCTTCCATTAATTTTTCATTGCAGTAAGGGCAATAGAGAGAGAGAGAGTGAGAGAGAGAAATTGTTAAATTTCAAAAATTATTCATACGCGCTTCACGATTTTGCGTATCATCTTTGCGCAGGGGCCATGCTAATCTTCTCTGTATCGTTCCAATTTTAGTATATGTACCGCCGAACAAAACGTGTACATATGTACATGAATCATACGCGTCTATTATAGTTTCGAATTTTCATAACAGATGGCGCGCTAATACATCATAGCTATTATTTCCTTGAGATATTTGATTGCCATCATTGAACGAAAATTCTTGGCGATAGTATTTAGTTCAATTATGAACATATTTGGAATTAATACAAAGCAACAACGCGCCATCTATATATAGGACATTAAAACACAGCACGAATATTTCTTTTACATACAAAACAAAATATACTATTGTTGCGTTGTTAGTTGAAAAAGAATAACTTCCGTTAGTACAAAGGATCTTTCGGACTTTATTTAAGCCTAATCAATAAAATAATTACAGAAGAGTGCAAAATATAAAACAAAAATAAAGAAAATAGCAGTTATAAACTCACCAACTGCAGCACGGTGAGGGAAAGCAGGAGCAGAACAGGAGACAGAAGTTCGTAGAACCTTCTAGAATCTTCCAAGAAGTACACCGGCGTCGGCGGTAAGCAGCAGTCCGACCTCTTGAGATAGCAGCTTGCTTGGAGTACACCACGTAGCTTCGTTCTTCGACTCCCTTGCATGATTCTTCATCCCTATATAACCCCGAGTAGATCTTTCCATAACGGTCATGGTTGGTTAGCCAATCAGAAAGCCGCCAGCACTGAGCATTGCGCAATCGCTACTGATTGGCCAATCAGTTGTTCTCCGATTTTTCTACATTTTTCTAGAACGTTCTAAAATATTCTCTTCTAGAATGCGCCATTTTTTTCTACTTAACACTATCTTTACTGCGATGAATAAAATATTGGGAGAACTTGGCTTATCAGTGAATAATTCCTTCAGTTGTTTCGTAAATTTATTCTACCCATTTAATTGGTCAATTATTGAAATATACTAATGATTTATATATTCATAATATTTTATTATAATATAATAAAAAAAATCAAAAATCTTATATTAAAATATAAAACATCCAAAAATATTCCTTTAAAACAAAAAAAATCAAATACATAAATCCAAAAAAGAAACCTACAAGTGTTTCTCAAATATACGATTTTCCTCTTTATTTGTATATTTGTAGTTTAAACACCTTTCACAATTTTACCTTAGATCATACATAAATATAGGTAATTTATTTGTTTTACTGTAGTGTAATATCAATGATCGAATAAATAAAATCCGTTTTTAAAGCATATACTCAACAATATGCAACAAAATAATTCAATAAATAGGTACTGTGCTATGAAAAGAGATGGATAGCGTTACCATTCAACTGAATGCCGTGTGTCTCCAATGAAGCGGTGGTCTAGGAGACGATCATTAGCGACCTGCCCATTCAGCCCGCCGTAAGTTTTTTGCTTGCCGAGCGAAACAGGTTAAGAGGAAGTAATCCCATTGTAGATTCCCTCTCAATTCTTGTGGCGAGAAAACCCTTCGGTCAGACAATTGGTATTCAACTGGCGACGCTGGGAGTTAGAGTGGGCCGCAATAGCTCGTGGCAGATAATCATATTTGTAGTTATATTTTCAACTCAATTACGATTTTAAAAAGTATAACAAAATGATACAGCAAGTATTTATTGTATATCAAACGGAAGTATGAGCACGTTGTTTCAAAACACTTCTTAATAGAGAGGCGACCCTTTCTGGTACATGAATACCATTCCTCCGTCAATATTTGCGT